GAAGGTCAGGCCAAGGTCAGGTCAAATTAGGTCAAATTTCAAAGTTGATATTTTTGCAAAAAAATGGCTGTACCGATTCGATTAAGGTCGTCACGGGGAGTCCAATGGTGGTCTTTGTTTTTCCCTACGTAGTCTAGAATTGCGAACAATTGAGTTTGAAAAATTGACTTCATCATTTTTGAACAGTTTTTTTTTCGCAATAACTTGTTAAAAAAAACGAGATATCGATCTGAAATTTAGTATGTAGATAGAAGACGGCAGGTACTATCACATATATTCCGTTTTTTAAGCTCATTTTTTTAGTTTTTTGGCTAATATATCCAAAAAATTGCTTTCTTGATTTTTTGGGGTCAAAACTCAAAAATTACACAAATCCGAGATTGCAGTTTTGTAGCCCTGTCAATTCTTCACCTTTTATGGCCTGCTCATTTTTCTGTATTTTTAAAGCTGTAGGCCTGACAGCTCTTCTCGCGAAGGTCTATTTTCGGTCGAAAATGGCAGAACATGACGTCATTCTGACAAATGACGTCATTCTGACGTCATTTGTGGCCAACCTATCATAGCCTCTGGAAACATTTTTAGTCACAATGTGTAAAATTGATGTCCGGAGGGGACCTAAATGTTTGGTGGCGATATCTCCAGGCGTTTAGGAGATATCGCCGGAAAAGAACAGGGGGGCCGTTTCGCCCCCCCCCCCCCTACGGGGCGCTGGTTAAAGAAGGTGGTTGACACCTCCTTTTAGTTTCTACGAATACCTGGCAGGATTAGTTGATCTGACCTGACCCGACCCGACCTGGCCTAAATGCATGAAGACATCATCTGTGATAAAAACTAACATGATATTCGTGATCAGCACCCCGAAAAACTTCATAGCAGCCACATTATACGACCTTCTAACAGGTCCCTATTTTCACGACTTTTCGGTCATTGACCTGACCTGGAAGGTCAACCAATGACCTAGGACCTTAATATTGGGTATCATCGGCTTCTTGTTGTCGCGGGTAACATGCTCGTTTTTCTTTTCCGCGAAGCTCTAGGTCGATCAGGGGCCAAACAGCAAGGGTGTTGGTCCAACGCCCCCCCCCCCCTCCCTTTATACGTTCGCAGATGGCAAAACACTAATACGGGCGAGGGTTCATTGCGATTGTTTTTGAACGTGCAGGCTAAAGAGTCCTAGAAAACGGTTGACATAGGCAATCACCTTTAATAAAGTTTTTTTTTACACCTGCCACTCTACATGTATTTTCATATTAGGCTAGATCGCTGCTCTATAATGCCAGATGTGAGCCTTTGCAAGTCTAAAAAGGTCAGCACTTCAAAGTCAAAACGTTCCAACACGAGACACACGAGCCCTGCCAAACACAGACTCCATTAGGCGACTGTGGCGCACCTTAGCTTGCGATACTAGCGCCACCTATCGACAAATCGATTGAGACCACTAGACGCTGTCAGTCCACATTGCACTGGACTATTTACTGACTTATCGATGACGGTGCCACGGTAGAGTGAGTATATGACATTGTCCGCCCCAACGGTTCTGACATGACTAGCGAATTCATTCGAAAATAACTACGTATAAACGCATTGCTGGTGTCAGCTAAGGCATCAAAAACAATACAATACAACAAAAACAATTAAATGTTATCAGATGTAGTACCTACAATAAAATACAATCAAATGAACTGCAATATAATCCTATTTAAAATCAGCACAACATTAGACACTGCTTGCCACTTAGGCGCTGGCCATTTTTCATCATTGCTGTGCCTCGTGACATAATCAAGAACTCGCAGAGTGTCTCACGTCTACCACTTAAGAGTATTTCGCCCCCGAATCCCCTTAATTTCGACACACTAAAAAAAACTTCACATTGACACTGTTCCAACATAGAGTTTCTCTGCTCCACCAGAGTTTCTCTGCTCCACCAGAGAGTTCCACTGTTCCACCAGAGAGTTTCTCTCCAAACCGCGTCACTCAGCAGCACTGAGAAACCTCGCCACACCCCACCGGTCTGGAAGGCTTCGCCTCAGCCTCTCATGCTCCCTGACCGTCCCCGGGTCTTTACAGAGCCTCTGCATCTCAATAGAGACCCGCTCCGCCGTCCGCAACGCTGCCTCCGCGTCTATTCCAAGTAGAGTGTGTAGGTTGGCAGCCATCTCTTGCCAATGTGCTGCCATATAGAGGGATTTTTGCTTCTTTTGGTCAAATGTTGGTACCTGTTGTGACCAGCTTTTGGAGATGTTGTTTGCGGTTGATTGGTACATGTGCCACTCTTCCGGGACGCTCATCCTTAGGGTAAGGCTAAGAAGTGGGATGTTGAGCAGCAGGTCACAGAGGTCACGCGCTGACCTCAGGTCAGCGGGCAGACCAGCCGGTCTTTCTGTCTCCGGCAGCTGGTGCTGACGTTTCAACCAGTCTCTCACCGCGTCAGGATCCCCCAGGAGCACCTGAAGATCATCTTCAGTGAGGAAATCCAGCAGAGGAGCTGCATCCCACACAAATCCCAGCTCCGTCTCGCAGTGCAGCTGCAAGACGACGTCATCCGGAGCGACTTCTAGAGCCTGATGCAGGCCAGTCTGGACGTAGTGCCAATGTCTCCACTTCGCAAACACACGGAGTATTTCGTCCGTTGTATACTGGTCTGACAGCACTAACATGGGTAGCACCATCTCCAGAGTGTCGGTGGTCGTCGTTATCATGTAGAACATAAGGCTGCTCGCAATGCCTTTGGTGATCTTCAGACGAGCCAGACAGACACGAACTTGTCGCTCAGTCAGTTGGACGGAACTCTTCATCAGCATCTTCTGTAGGAGAGGTTCAAAGATCCCAATTCCACGAGCCAGGAGGTCCGTGAGATTTCTTCGGATGCGCCGCAGGACTTTCGCCATGACTGTCCTTTCCTTCCTGTTGGTGAAGCGCAAGAGGTTTATGCGACTCCAGAAGTAGCACGGAAGGTTTCCCGTGTCGACAGCTTTGTCAAGGTAGTCGAGCAATTTGCTGATGTTCCGGTAGACGCTTGTCCACTCTGAAGTCGGCGTCTGCTCGCACAGCCACAAGAGTGCCGTCTTTGCGTAGTAGGACTTGATCAGCTTACCGTCCTCCACGCCGGCTTTGCATATTTTGAAAACAATGACCACACTTCGCTGCTGTTGACTAAGCAACGCAGCCATCACCACCTCGGCTCTTGAGAAGGAGATCCTAAACTCCTGTCGCTGTGTTGTACTGCCCGGGGCGCCCACTGGAACCAGGTGCAGTCCGAACTGTCTGATGTTTTCTAGGACATCCTCTGGTGGCCAGTTGTGGCGGCGATGTCGCGTGAAGAACTCGTCAGGGGTAAACCACGTGGGGATGTAGACGCAGGGAACCTCGTCTAGCTCCGCGACGGCACATTTCAGTGTGTGGTCATTTGTATGTGTTACGGCGGGGCCGTTGACACACAACTGAGCATCACTTTCATCAGAGTGCATGACTCTAAATTCGCTGAACATCTGTATCACAGTCTCTGCCTTGAACATTAGACTCTCCTGGTGAGGGCAGTCGTCTCTGCGCTCCTGCAGCAGCAGCACGAAGCCGGGGTTTTCTGTCTCGGTGATCACAAGACAAGGTGCCTTTCTGCTTTCCGGGCCTCTTTGGTTGACAACAGATTCTGCTGCTGTCTCATCAGTTCTAACCTCCTCGTAGGGAATGTTTCCAGACGTAGGAACAACCCAGTCCACCGGAGCAAGCTCTATCATCACGTCTATATCAGAACTCGTCTGATACAATGGCGGTTTTTGAGGAGCCCCTAATCTTTCCGCCATGCTTCCTGACACCACCCCGCTTCTTCTCTGCAGCGTACGGAACGGAGAACACCTTTCACACTCGACGTGACGACTCTGCAGTGCTCGTTCCAGTGGTCTTTCCCAAAGTTCACGTATGGCGAAGTCGCGTTCCATCATCTGCCGCTTTACCAAACGTCAGTGGCATCAGCTTGACAGATATATTCGTAGACATTGTCTATGACGAGGTTGATGTGGTCGCCGCAGACTTCCAGAAGGGGGGATTTGTGAGGGAGTTGGAAGGAAGTCGGCTCCTCATTGCTGGCGCTGTTGGCTGGTCTTTCTGCGTTTGCCATGACCCGAGTTCCTCCTGAAAGCTACGGTGTGGGCTTGGCTGCACCACTGGCTGGTTCCACGGCTCCAGTTGTTGTCCCACTCGGGTGCTTTAGTTTCATACACACAACACATTGAGCGTGTCCAGTAAACGCCAGTGGTCACTGATCAAATCACCAAACTATCGTTATTTTGCATGCTATCCGGGATCATGTTCGCACAGTTCAAGTCGCACTATGATTTACCACTGTTGGAATTTCCCTAATTAGTCTTGGGACAACACTGCGCACCGCAATAAGCCCTCCAATTGCTTCTACACTTGTGCTTCAGATACTTTAGTTCCGACGTCCGACATGACTCTATCATGGTGCTGCCGCTACAAACCACGCCGCTTATCTTATCTGGTTCGCGCTATCTAGGGCAAGTAGAGGTGCTGAACACTCAGTGTCTATTCTCAAACACCATCGCGCCGCTATCAAAAGGGTGATTTATTTGGTGCATGAATGTGTAGGCTGAGTCGCTTGGAACCACCGAAGCCGTAAAATGGTACTGTAATGGCCCTTTCACACGTAGCAACTTTTCCGGTCGCCGGCGACGGCAACTGTCGCCGGCGATCGCCAGCGACCGGGGTCAGTCGCCGGCGATCGCCAGCGACCGGGGTCAGTCGCCGGCAACTCCGCAGTTGTCGATATCAGCTGACCAGTCGCCGGGGTGTGACGTAGCAGTCGTGTCAGCCAATCATTGAAGAGTTGTCGGCGTTGCCGAGAAAGTTCAATTTTTCCAACATTTTGAAGTCGCCGGCGACTGTTCTAGCCAGCCGCCGCTCAACTGTCACGTGACCCGCTTGACCTTGAGTTGGCACCAGATATTGCGCTGCTGATACATGCAGCGGCGCAGCTTATTTTACTGCATTATTCAAGGTACTAAATATTTGGACATGTTTTGCAGGATGATAACTACCGTCTAGCCCTAGAACGCCTAGGGGGGGGGGGTTGTATCAACCCCCCCTGAGGTTTTTTCGAAGTGCACGCTAAACGGCTTGTCGTAGCGGGCTGAAATTTTCAATACCCTCTGGGGCAACCTTTGCGCATCTTTTGCCGAAAAAAAATTGATCGGGTCATGTCAGGTCACGGAGTTATGACGTCATAAGAGGTACAGCCTCCGGCCGACAGTTACCAAACGTGTGCGCCGAATCCCTAGGTTTTCTGCCGGTGATACCCACATTGTTTGATGGATCATGATGAAACTTCCCATGCATGTTGGGGCAAGCATTGGCTATCGTGTGGTGCAAGAAAATTGACCGGGTCAGGTCAGGTCACGGAGTTATGACGTCATAAGAGGAACAGCGTCCGGTACTATTTTTGAAAAGCGCCCGAACCACTATTTTGCTAATTCTTGTCACCTCAATGGGAATATGCAGCAATATTAGCTTCTATAGGGAGCAAATGGACCTCCCAAATCCGAAAATACAATCAGATTTCAAAAATTTAAATTTTGATTTTTCGAATTTCTGCCGCCGACTGTGACCTTGCCGACTTCCGGCGCTCCCAACGCGCCATTTTTAGAGCTAGGGAAACGAAATACATACCAAACGATAGAGAATTGATTAAGGAACACGATAGTGAAGGTTTCAAGTCGATATCTCTCACCGTTTTGCCGCAATCGCCGCGGAAAGTTGAAAAAAGTCTATTTTTCCGAAAATTTGACCTTTGACCGGTCAAAAGTAGGTCAAATGTTGACCTAGGACCAAAAAATATACCACCAATCGCGAGATCTCGTTGAGAGCAATCCGTTGGTTTTTTCCGCTAAGCTCTACGACCTTCCGTTTCGAAACGCCAGGGGGGGTCGTAACAACGCCCCCCCCCCCCTGGTCGTTCGTGTTATGAGAAATGGCCTGGTCGTGCGAGGGCTAGGTAATATTGGAATAATATTTATTAGATCTATTATTGAAACAATACATAATATCAATGAAAATACAATCAAACTGCGATTCTTCTACATTGGAATTCAATGCACTCAAGCATAAAACTCAAGTGATGTGTACTTGCAGTTCCTCCATTTTTCCTAACGCATCAGCCAAGACTACGAGTGCTGCAGATTTTGCTCACCTGTCTTGTTTATTCAACTACAACCCTGTTCTCAATAAATGAATAACTTCGCTGTAACGACATTAGCATTGAAGGAATGGTTGGTGGTAAGCATGGGACAATCACAGTGATTTGTGGTCACACATTTGAACCGTGCTTTGTATGTGAAAAACAGAAAAAGGCATTCTAGAAATGTAGCAGAAATTCAAATGCCAGAAACGGACCTGAGGAACGGCGAATCCTACCACCCACATAAAACACAGGCTTTCATTATGTCAAAAACAGATGCTGTATTATCTAAAGCGCTGGATTGGGGAACACAAGTGTACCCCCCCCCCCCTCCCTTATAACAAAATGCATTTTTCCACACAGTGGATATCACTAAACATGGCGAGGTGACAGTATATGACACCATACGCGCGACCACATAAAAATGCAGCACGCGCGGACACGGGGCAAGGACGGTGGCACAATATGCCGATACCCAAGAAGACACAAGCCTAGGTCAAAGGTGACAATACTGTGACAGAAATCTTAAAATCAGCCTGGACACAGCTCACTCTTCATGACCGTTTTTATCGAAAATAGACCAACAAAACACCAAGGCTCCTTCGTCCAAAACTCAAAACTCGACATGCCGCTCCAAAGGCCTTGCAAAACAGCGCACACCAACAACGCATAATAGCCAGCAACGCACACGACAGGATTTTCGAGGCCCGAGTCGTCAGCCGCCGCCGCCACCTCCCGGCAGCTGATTGCCGATCGTGGCGACCTCTTTACTCTGGCAGAATCGACCCTACCGAGCGGCGACAGCATTTAGAAGCAAAATGACAAATGAATTCACTGCACTTATGTCAGAAAATCGAATGCACATGCCATGGTCACACGCGGTGCCGTCCACGGGGCCGGCAGAAGCTGCACACTGTCACCGAACACCACATGCACCTTGGACGCAGTATGTGAGGGCTTGGCGGACGCGCGCCGCCTCGCGTGCGGTATTGGCATCAAGGCCCGGACACGAGGGAGCACACTCGGCGCAATCAGAGCACACCGTCCGGGACCGTCAGTGTCGATCTCCTGACCTCACAGAAAGTTGTGCAGCACACAGGTGAACGCCGTCAGTGTGGTGACTGGTGCGCAGCACACCGTCCCACGGAAGATCGTCTGTGGGCCGTGGTGCAGATGCTGTCTCTAGGCAGAGTCAACAGTGCAGTGGCAGAAGTTGAACATTCAGCTGCTAGACTCCTTTTCGGGTCAGCAATGCCGTCAAGTTGGCCATCAGGTGGTGTTGATCAGGTACATCAGGTACAGAACCTCTTGACTCATCAGGTAACGCTGTGACTTGTCTGCCAGGCACAGAGGGCGGACATGTCAGAACATACTTCAAATACATTTTTAAAAATCATTTTTTAACCAAAAGCTCTGCAAATTAGGAAGCCTGGAATAGGCTATTGCTTAGCATCATAAAAAATACCCAAATACCCAAATCAGGTTAGGCTTGGTTTACCCAAATACCCAAATCAGGTTAGGTTTGGTTTTTACACTTCAGGCTAAAATGAGAACTATCTTAGCATCATTATCCTTGATGTAGCATTGTTGACGCTTTTTGTCTTGTACAATTGGCAATCAGTATTCAGTGACACAGAATTGGAATTTGTGGTTCAGAAACCTAGCATTATTTGAAATAATAGCATTTTAGCAGTGCTCATTCTTTTTGAAAGCAAGCGTATTTTTTTAATATAATTTTCTATGTAATTCATTTCCTACTGAATATGGTTATGAGACCATTGTTACTAATTTTGGTATTATTAAGGCAGCTGTAGCATGAGTGGGCATATGCTGTAGAGACTGGAGTGATTAAAGTCACTAGAGGCTTGAGGTTTTTTTTTTAGACATTATGCAGCAGCCTGGGGAGATATGCAGAGGCAAGTCTAGGCACCACCAGAAGGGGGACAAGCAGTCAGCACAACACACAGCGGGCACAAGGGGAGAAGATTGTAAAAACTATTGCCTGGATCCACCTCTGTGGACATCCTCAGGCATGCCTCTGTGGACATCTCCAAGCTGCTGCATGTGAAAAAGTATCAAGCCTCTAGTGACTTTTTCCACACTGCAGCAAATGCCCGCTTATTCTTGGTCTGCTCTACCTTCCTCCAATTATGAGTTTTGTGTGAAAATGACATTTTTACATTGGTGGAGCTTGTGTGCGCATGGTACACATAAGCCATGCCGGCAGCATTGCTGCAATGAATAGGAAACAGCTTCAGGGCCAAAATACATACCACCTTGCCTACATACCTTGCCAAAATACATGACATACCTACCACCTACTGTGCATAATGCAATTATTTATGTACTAATAAGCCATGGATTATCATTTGCCATGTGAGCACGCACACACATGCGAACCCAATGCGGATTAAGTTTGGCCTGGGTTGTTTATCCATGGTACCAAGGAAAACTCCAGCAGAAACAATAACAAAATTGCAAAGCTACCTGTTTGATTTTGATCATGCTAATTAATGAGCAGCAATATAATATTTTGTTGCTATCAAATATTTCCTTGTGTCGCACGAATAGGTAGGCAAATAGCTGACTGATGGGTACCGTAAAATGGGGTGTTAAGGGACAGTTTTGAGGTGTTTTGTTATATAACTCAAGAAGGGTTGGATATAGAAGCATCAAATTTTCAGCATTTTATGTGGAATTTGGTGCTTTGCATGCCTGCCACATTAAAGTTTTTAAGATTTATACCTGCATATTACTTTTTATTATTTTTCATCACTGTCCCTTAGCACCCCAATGTGGGGTGTTAAGGGACACCTATAGTATTCCAAGAAATGGTCATCAAATGCCCACAATTGGGGTGTGGAAGGGCACACAATCTATTTATTGAAATGTTTTGCATATTCTGTCACAAAACAAGTCGGCTTCATTCACCACTAATGACCTTTTTAGCCAATTACGTGTAATGCAGTTTACGCTTCTGGAAAATGTGCTAATTATGAGGTAAACAGAACCAAAAAGTACCTTCTGTCATCAATAAAAACCCATGTTGAAGCTAGTCACTTGTCATTATGTTGCCCTCTTTGTTTTAGCCTTTTTATGATGACATTACATTTACCTACATCAGTCTCCATTGACCCATCATTGTAAAAGAGTGTTGAGATGTTTTGTTATATAACTTAAGATGTGTTAGAGATAAAAGGATGAACTTGCCAGCATTTTATGTGGAATTTGGTGTTTTCCATGCCTACTGAAAGAAAATTTAATGAAATTATATTTAGATATTATTTTTTATTTTTTCTTCCCTGTCCCTTAGCACCCCACATCCACCTCAAAATATGCATGTATCCGGAAAAGAGGAAGAGGATGATGAATGAATGGGTGGATTTGCACAAGTTTTTCAGGAAACATGTGCAATACATGTGACAATACACCTATGCATTCATTTTCCCTGTACACGCACTAGTTTATGTGGTACACACAAAGTTTTGGAGATGTTTCAATTTTGTGAAAATGTAGCATGATTTTCAAATCCATTTTTGAACCAAATCACTTGCATGAAAAAACATACCATTTTGTCCTATGGTCAAGAACATAACAGTGTCAACTACCACACTGAAGTTTTTATTGAACCTTCTCAAATTAGGAAGTTAATATCACTCAAAGTTTTTCCCATGCAACTGTCCCTTAACACCCCACTATCCCTTAACACCCCATTTTACGGTAGGCACTTTGTCCTCAAGGGCACTAACCCGGTTTACATAGCATACTTGACGAGGCTCTAGCTCGTTAATTTGGCGATAATTTCGATGCAGTGGTCTTCAAATATTTAGAGGGGATCATTTTGTAAATTGTTCAGCACCATTGGCATCTTTTGCAACATCACGGACGGAGATATAAGCTTGCAACAAACCCTATGTAAACGCGTCTACTGATACTGAATGTAAACAATGTTCTTGTGACACAACAAGCAAGTTTTCATTACCTTATGAAACTAGTGTCAATTTCAATGTCATTAAAATATTCAATTTTGATGAAAAATACATATTTATCACAAATAAAAATCATGGGTGATCATGGGCAAGTGCGCCACAAATGACATAAACCCTCCAATATTGTCGAATCAAGCTTAAATTCAAGTCACAACAGCTTCACGACAGGCAAACTACAAGATAATAATCCCTATGCTACTGTGCAACAAATTTAAGGTAGCCACACCAACCAAAAATGCATCACAAATCACCTAATCCACTCACCAAGGACAAAACTGTCATGGCGGCGTCCGCTGCTCGAGAAGAGTCGCCGGCGACTGGCCTGTGACGCGGATCTGACGTCACCAGTTGCTGGCGATTGCCCGGCCGTGCGTATTTGGAAATTCCGACCTTGACGAGCATCTGTGGTAGAAAACTATCACTTTCGTAGGGGAAACTACTGCGTCTGCTACCATTTGCACTGCATGTGTCGCTATAGTCGCGACATCTATGCAAACAAACCGCTTATGATCATTTCATGGCCGGCCCGATCCCCGGCAGTCAAAGTTGCTGAGCGGTGGGGGGGGGGAGGAGGAAGGTCCAATATGATGCCACAAAAGACATGCCTCTTGCCTATAGCTATATAGGTACGCATGCATTGGTATTAGCATTTAGCAGTGTGCCTCCTGAGATGTTCGTGATTTTTATCGATTCATCGAGTTGACGATTTGAGGATACCTTTCTCAAAGTGCCTATCATGCAAGAAAACATAAAAACCAATGAAACGTTTTCTTCCAAAAATAGACAGGTGGGACTCCTCAGAGACCATTGTAGCTGCAGTTTAATAACTCAGAAGTTGAGTCGCGCGTGAAGCCCTATATGCTAGTCAACTGGAAAGACCCAAAGGAGCCCGCCTAGGGCTCCCAGAGAATGGTGTAGGCCCCCAGGAGCCCGCCAGTGACCCCATGCGTGATAAGTTAGGAATACCAAGTGTCTGAAAGTGCTAAACTTAAGAAATAATACTATATTATGCATACTAATCCTAACATTATTCATATCAATCGCTGAACGTTTCAAGGCGATCGTGCCGTCGGTGTAGCTATAGCCGAACATTTAAAGTTTTTTTCGAGGTGAGGTCAGTTGGACTGACCTGGTGGCCTGACAATTTTAACTTTGTTAACCTCAACTTCCGGAACCGACTGAGCCGGTCCCGTAGCTCAGTCGGTAGAGCCTTGGACTCCGCGAGGTGAGATCTCGCGTCCCGGTCATAACATAACAGTCCGGGTTTGAAGCGCCAGGGACACTCGATGTTTATGAGCCTCCTGACAGGTATGGCTGCGGTTGGTGGCAGGCCGTAGCCAGCTTAACCCGCGCACCGACGGGGGGCGGATATCCGCCCCCCCCCCCCTGAGGTTTTTCGCGAATAGCGGGAAAGCGCCGCGAAATTTGGTACGACTATTCCCTTATCAATTTTACACATGGTGTGCAAGTTTGAACCTCCTACCTTTTAAGGTCAGGTCACCAGGTCACTTTGAATGACCCAACCTCAAGTCACTTTTTTGCAAATTTGTCACCGGGCCAGAGCTACAGTAGATGTCGGAGGCCTTTGAAAGTCGCAGGATGTTATTAGGTCATTAGTAGCTACAATTTTTATATCTCGGAATTTTGATATCGGTGACCTAAGGTCAGGTCAATTTCGCGACCTTCCCAAATGGGACTTATAATGTTATAAGTCAATGGGGGAAAATCAACTCCCTGTTTTTACCACTAAAACGGGTCGGAATGGCCCCATATACCATACATGACTTCAAATACGATCAACCTTCACTACCTTGAGGTCTGTTTTGCTGTTGGGCAGCTGTGAGGTCATGTGACGTCATCAAAGGTCACCAAAGGTTTTTGGCCAATAACTCCGTACAGGAACAAGATACAGCCGCGTGGATGGTCTCATTGTGTTCAGCTCGTCAAGACGCATCGAATGATATACATGATGACCTCGAGGTCACGTGACCTGAGGTCAACCTTTGACCTTGACCTTTCGAGGTCAACTTATATATCATTCGATGCGGATTGACGAGAGGATCACGATGATGCCCTTAGTTTGTTCCTATCTTGACTAATTCGAAAGATATTCGAGAAAAACTCTCTCCATATCTAACGCCGCCATTCTGACTTTTTCGACCCCTGTGACGTCATCTTTGACCTGACCTGAAAATGACCTTTGTAAAAATTGTAGATCTTGGCCGTGCGTATCCGATGCCGTTTACCGCTTGTCGCTATCTTGCTTCGTTCTCGAGATCTCAGGGGGGGCGGTCATCCGCCCCCCCGTCGGTGCGAAGTTGGCGCAGACCCCCGTCGGTGCGCGGGTTAAGTCAGTGAGGGGACCGGCCGTGCGCGGCTATATGTGCGTACGACTTCGGACTCTAAATTCTGTCATATATCAAGAATTGCGCGATCGGATGATGGAGGGCAGGGGCCGGCCAATGCAACAAGATCTGCTTAGCTCCTTGTGAATCCTACCATTCAAAAGATCCGCAGCAGTGGACTAAATTTATAAGAAAACTCAAAACTTACATATTTTCCGCACATGCTGTTAAAATTTCAGACCCAAGTTCTTAAAGTTAAAAAACGACGCGGAACGCTGTCGTTACTACTTATACATCACGTTACGACCTTCCAGACCAGTTGCACCTTAGGTAGTTACTAGTTATATGTACCTATATTATGTTTATCCTATGTGTGTGCTGTGCATAAATGTCGCAACTGTAGCGACACATGCAGTGCAAATGGTAGCAGACAGCAGTAGTTTCCCCTACCAAAGTAGTGGTTTCTACTACAGACGCTCGTCGAGGTCGGAAATTCCAAATACGCCCCGGCCGTGGCCCGGCGATCGCCAGCGACTTGCTTACGTCATACCTACGTCACACACGATCGTTGGCTGGCGGTCGCTGGCGGTCGCCGGCGACTGCTGCTGTCGCCGGCGACTGAAAAGTTGCTACGTGTGAAAGGGCCATAAGAATCAAACATCGAGAGAAAAATGGGATGATAGGTGGAACTACCTGTAAGACAAGTGTAGGTTGGTTCTGCTCTGGTATTCCTTTGCACCTCTATTTACACACTGATCGCAATGTGTGTATTGACCGCATAACAGCATAGTATGCCTTAGCTCTTATCAAGGAAGACTATTTTCGCCGTGAACATAAGAGCGTCGCCATTGAAGTTCAGCCATCGCTTGCGAAAGAAACTTCGTGTGATCGTGTGCAGGACAACTACAATAGCCCCGTTTACATAGGGCTCGTTGCCAGATAGTGGAATTCCGATACCGAGACATTTATTCTGCTAACGATACATTTCAGGCACATTCCGCTAGTTCTTACGACCTATCCGGCCAGAAGACTGGATAGGTCGTCAGAACTAGCGGGATGTGCCTGAAATGTCTCGTTAGTGGAATAAATGTCTCAGTATAGGATAGGAATTCCACTATCTGGCAACGAGTCCTATGTAAACGGAGCTATTGTGTTGCCCGTGTATGGGTAAGTGACCAACGTTATATGTATAGCTTGTGGCGCATCGTTGAGCATCACGATATAAAAAGATACACACTAAAACACGTTTTATTTAAATTTTGGAGAGTTCTCAGTCAGGACAGATCCTCTTTAGCTAGACAGGGGCTCAAACGCTGAGGAACACTCTGAACTTAGCCGCGTCACGTATTATGTCACGACTTACGTACTATCAAAATGCAATGTTTCCACCAGATTTGATAATCACACGTTGCTAGGATACTGTCGCGGTACGATCCTCACATCCCCATATACATATTAGAAGAATGTACGAGCACAGAAAGTGTCGCCACTATCCGTACAATGTCAAATATTCGCTACGCCAATAATATTAAAATATCACTGATCAAAAATAACTCAGCATTTCACGCAACGCTCTGAAAAGCGAACGTATATCAACATGCTCACTCACTAGGCATGACTATCACATCTTCTCTCTCTCTCTCTCTCTCTCTCTCTCTCTCTCTCTCTCTCTCTCTCTCTCTCTCTCTCTCTCTCTCTCTCTCTCTCTCTCTCTCTCTCTCTCTCTCTCTCTATCTCTCTCTCTATCTCTCTCTCTCTCTCTCTCTCTCTCTCTCTCTCTCTCTCTCTCTCTCTCTCTCTCTCTCTCTCTCTCTCTCTCTCTCTCTCTCTCTCTCTCTCTCTCTATCTCTCTCTCTCACACACACACACTCAGGACGGTGTCAGCGTCACATCCGGTTGAAGCACGTGTAGAACCTCTAGCGCCACCTGTCGACCAGTTTGTACAGCTCCACTCATGAACCCACACCAGCGGGAGGCCAGCTCCGTACCGCAGAAAAACACCCTGAAAGGGGGTAAAATAACACATTTAGAGAGCACAGAGAATTGGAGTACAGCGACATCCTGAAAAAAAAAACACACGGAATCGGGGTAGAGAATATATTGAGGGAATATGGGAAAAGAGAGTGAGGTAACGCCATCGGAAAGCCAGTTCCGTACCGCAGAAAAACACCCTGAAAGGAGGTAAAATAACACGTTTAGAGAGCACACAGAATTGAAGTAGTGCAACACCCCGAGGAAACACAGTGAATCGGGGTCAAAAACATATCGAGGGAATATCGTGAAAGGGAGTGAAGTAACTCCATCGGGTAGTCGATTTTGTAAAGCAAAAACACCCTGAAATGGGGTAGAACAACATCCTGAGAGCACACGGGGAGTTGTAGGAGAGACCAGCATCCTACCTACGAGGCACGCTGGGAAATACACCAAACAACTGGAAGAAACGTGGTGAAATGAAGTGGGTGAGTACTGAGTAGTAAGTACGTATTTATTCGCAACATGCAACGAAGATGCAAAAAAAAAAACATTCACACTTGTAAGTGCTGCATTCTTAGACCTACCTCCAGTGTGGTTAGCCCAAATAATTAATTATAGGTACTATTTACCTCCCGTGAGGATTCTATCGGTAACTAAACACCTACCTGGCAGTCCCGTGATGGACTACGAGGTAGTTAATGGTAGTTAATGATAGTTAACCCGCGCCGGGCCGGTGCTCTGAGATTCCGCGCCGGGCCGCGGGGGGTGTTTGAACACCCCCCCCCCCTTCTAACTCGGCTCCTGGGCCACGTAGCGACACGCGGTAAGCGGCAATCGAAAGAACGTCCAAAATAAGGACGAAAATACTTCGGTCATTTTTTGGGTCAGGTCAAAGGTCAGGTCACCAGAGGTCACCAAAGGTAAAATGTTGACTATTTCAACATTTTGGAAACTGCCAACGGCTATCTCGGGAACCGATAGAGCTACAGCGCCGCAAAAAAGCGCATTCGATAGCCCTTTTACAAACCTTTCTGAATAATGTTCTCAGATTTGACCTCAGGTCAATGGTTTAGCCTCCAGAGGGCAAAAACTCCAAAAACAGCCGTTATTACAAAAAACGTTTTTTCGGCAATAACTTTTGACTCAAAAGAGCTATGACATTACTTTTGCCAGCATCGTGTTCCTCTCGTCGAGACGCGTCGAATGAACTATGATTTGACCTTGAAAGGTCAACTTGAAAATTTGACCTCAGGTCAAGGTCATGACCTGACCGGAAAAGGTCATGTTGCAAATCAGTCGATCCGCAACGTCGAGCCGAACACATCTAAGGTGTTTTCAGCGCTCTAGAACGCCTCTATCAGAAGTTATCATAGAAAAACTGTTAGATTCTGTTCGTGACCTGAGATGACCTCGGGGACATAACGAGGGGTCACAGTTGCCATTTTCTGGTTCAGTGTGTTTATTTTACCTACATCTCGATGTTTGAGAGTGTCTAGAATAGCGTTCGTGCAAAACAGACGCTTTTCAATTTTCTCCCATTGACTTATAATGGAGAGGCCGCAAAATTGATCTGACCTTAGGTCACCGATATCAAAATTCCGAGATATACATTTTATAGATAGTGTTGCTCTAATCAATCGCTGAAAGTTTCAAGGCAATCGTTCAGTCGGTGTAGCTATGACGAGCATTCTTATTTTTTCTGAGGTGAGGTCACTTGGCGTGACCTGGTGACCTGACCTAAGGTGACCTGGGTCTGAAATTTTCACAACATGTGCGGAAAAGATGCACATACAGGTGTGCCAAAAACGGCGGCGCTCCGCGCCGCCGTTTTTGAGATATCTGCGAAAAACCGCAAGGGGGGTGTTCAAACACCCCCCCCCCGGCCCGGCGCGGTTTAACAATGGACGTCATTCACTACGTACCTCCCGTGTTTTTCTCTCAGCGCGGGGAATGTGTGCATCAACCCGGGCGTGGTATAACAGACGGGACATCCTCCGGTGAACGGTTCCTCGGCCCACACCTGAGGGAGGTAGCAAAATGACGTAATAAAAACACCTATCTCACACCTAGGCGTGGTAAAACACACGGGACATTCTCCGGTGAACAGTTCCCACACCTGATGGAGGTAGCGAAATGACGTCATAAAAACACCTATCTCACACCTAGGCGTGGTATAACAGACGGGACATCCTCCGGTGAAGGGTTCCTCGGCCCAGACCGATGGAGGTAGCCAAATGACGTCATAAAAACACCTATCTCACACCTAGGCGTGGTATAGCAGACGGGACAACCTCCAGTGAACGGTTCCTCGGCCCATACCTGACCGAAACGTCAAAGGGTGTCATAAAAGCATGGTATAATATAAACTAGATGTGATTTTCAGCGAAAGCCCTTCGGAAGTAGTGACATGACGTCATAGAAGCATATGATATAGGATGAACTAAACGTGTTGCTCAGCCAACACCTAAGGGCAGCCACACCAAGTCACACGATGTAAAAACACACAGTATAAACTCAAAGTTAAAACACAGTATAAACTCACGGTATAAACTCAAAGATCGACGTGATTTTTCAGCCGATATCTGTAAGAAATAATGATATGGTGTTATAAAAAACGTTTCGAAAACACACTTAACCCGCGCCCCGCTGGGGGGGGGGGGGCAGAATCTGCCCCCCTCCCGTTTTTCGCCAATAACTTCTAAACGCGTTACGCCAGCGACGTCAAACTTTCAGTACCTTATCATACATCAATTTGACACCTTCCCTGAAAATTTGAACGAAATCCGTCGGAAAATTTTTGAGAAATTGACGTTTTAGTGACGTCATGTTCGCCATTTTCGCCTCAAGAACGGCAAAACTTCAAACGCCGCTAACATCTTCATTTTTAAAGGAATCAAGACGTAACAAAAAAGGTTATACGTGATTCCACGTTGTCTATCAAATGGCTATCTCGGTTTTTTGAAAATTTTGGATTTTGGCCCAAAATTTTTCAAAAAACTGATTTTTTTGGGAAAATAGTTATAAAATCCAAAATTTTGAGTGTATCGAAAAAACCGGAATATATGTCAGAGAAGTGGTCAATGTGCATCTACATACCAATTTTCAGAAGAATCGGTTCAAAAATGTGGGAGTTATTCAAAATTTCATGACGTCAGGACACACAAAATTTTTGAAAAATATTTTTTGGAAGTTCTAGACCTCGTACGGAAACAAAAATAGCACCATTCGATTCGCCGTGAAAAACTGCATCAGATAGATACCTTTTTGGGCCTTAACAACCAACTTCAAAATTTGACCTCACTTGACCTGACCTTGACCTGACCTCGACCTGAAATTCATCCAGAGGTGGTCCATATCACTTATTGAGTGTGCCTATTGAATTCTATGAGTAAAATGAACCATAAAACATGTGTCGCACATGCCCTTTTCTATATTTTGTTTTTGGTGACCTGACCTGACCTGACCTGACCTTGACCTTGACCTTTGAATGACATTGTATGCAACGAATATTGTCTTGGTAGTCTAAGAACACGTTTTGGGCAATCAGTCTCAGTCCATTCTTCGGCAACTACGGTGCAAGGCCGATACTGTAGAAACTTGCATTTTGTACCCTTGACCTGACCTTGACCTGACCTCTGACCTACTTTAGCAAAAAATTTTGGGCTCTTAA